CACAGTCAGTGGCGTTGACTACAGCACCAGCTCTTGACGACAGCTTTTGCTTGCTTGCTCTCTCTCCCCTCTCTTCCGGCTGTGCTCTCTCCCTCTGTGCCAGGAGGCTCGTGATAAGGACGATCCTTGATGGGCCATTCAATTCGGACAGCTTCCTCTTTCAAGTTCCTGCCAGAGCTTGGGCATCCGAAGGTGCTGCAGTACTGCTCTGAAATCGGTAGGTGCAGCATTTCGACAGCAAGCATTACAGCCACATGTCTCTGTCGGTTTGCACAGCAAATCGAATCTTCATCCCTGCTAGCCTAGCCTGACTCTTTGTATGAAGATGTCAATGGTCAATGAACTCTGGGCCTCAAAGCTGCCAGGAAAGCATGCAGCAGCCTGGTGACACAAAGCTTGTTGAAGCGGATGCAAGAGAGGCCACCCAACTAGCTACCATCCGTGCCATCATTTATCCGCTGTTCAATTCATCTGTGAGTGTAACTACCTTGCCCCCACAGCTGTGGGTGCAGAACTATAACTAAGATATGACGAGCAAGGCCTCCCCAGGTCCATGCAGTCTTGGCGTGCTGCGCTCTGTGCGAAGTCCATCAGCTGCACCAGCCGAGCTTCCACTTTTGCAGTTCGGAGTCCGGAGGGCCGGGCACCTTGGGAACCCTTGCGAGCTGCGAACGCCAAGCGGTCTCCATCATTACAAAACAACAACTGCACAGGTTGCGCCACGAAGCATTGCGCAACAGTCTTCTGTAAAGCGTCATCCGTCTCCAACAAGAACAGCAGCAGTGCCTGATCAGAGGCTGACTTGCGTCGGCTTGGTACCAAGCACCATCCACACTTGATATCTAGTAGCCCCAGACAGTACTTGTAGCATAACGATGCACTGTCACCCGGGCCAAGGCCTGCCACTCTCCTGGCACAAGTGCTGCTTCTCCAGCTCCTGGCTCCCAAAACTTGAGCGAAGCTACCGTGAAACCCTCAGCTTGGCATCTGCTAGCATCAAGCGCAAAGGGCCTGCAGCGGCTGCCTGTGCACCACTGGAAAGCACCAAGCCCACACCTCGTGCCCATGTCCTTTGGCACTGCTCCGCCAAACATGAAGCGACTGTCACCCGATGAACTCTTCCAATGCACTGGTCTAAGAACATTCTTGTGGCAGAGCTCGTAAGCAACCCCTGGCCCACAAGGCTACTGCCGCTGCTGAACATGAAAGTTGGTCTGCTGTCATCCGTGCAAACAACTTATCGGCATTCCTCGGAACCTGTTCAGCACCACGGCTACTGCAGCTCACGCTGGAAACAGCCCGGCTTGGACTTCGAATTTCTTCACAACAGCATCAGTTTCCCAAGCCCTGCTCAGCACAAAGCATTCTGAACTGAACGGGGCTTGAGCGTCGTGAGCAGCAAAATCACGCCGTACGCTGCAGGACTGGAAGCAAACTTCTCGTAAAAGTGCTCCGCCTTCAGCCATCCTGCTCACTTTGCGAGTTTGTGGTTGAGCAGCTGTACGGCTGTATGAGTCTAGTCTAGCATTCTAAAACCTTAGAGACAGGATCGTCCCCCCATGGTCCTTCGGGGCTCAGGCACACGTCCACCCTCTGCTCGTCGTCTGCTTCGGTTGCATCCAGCACTGGGCGCAAGCTCAGCCGTAGCACTGGGACACGTGCATCGAGAACCTCCTTCTTTTCCACGGAAATGACGTCCAAAGCCGGGGACAGCACGGTTTGCAAAAAGTGCTTCGCTTGTTGCTGGCTTGTGCAACGCTGGAAAGCTGCCAAACTGCTCTCGGGGACGAACTCTGCAAAAAGTTCCGGTTGAATCATTGCAAAAATATCAAGGTCGGACTCTTGCTCGCATAGACCAAGGGCAGTTGATCCGAACGGATGAAAGCGAAATGGTTGAAAGCTACCTGACTTCCCACATAGCTTGGTGCAGTGTAGATCGACCGTGCGCTGCACCAAGCCGAGTGTGGCCAGCTTGCCGGAGACCACTTGCTGCCTGAAGCTGCA